CACCAAACACGAGAAGTGCCTTTTATAATATCTAAAACTCTATGTCCAGTTTTTGTTTTAGCCAGAATGACATTTATAATAATAATAAAAAGTTCGTTCTAAAACATTTTTTTCTTTTTCGTGGCATTAATCTTAAATGGTTAAAACACATTCAAAGTTAAGATGACCGTCTTATCCACCTTCCCCCTAAGAAATTTTATCCAACTTGAATGGTGAAAACAAAGGTTGAAAATCATTCATTGATGTATACTTTTGTTTGTAAATGCTGATTCCATTTCAATAATATGCGTCTGTTTTTGTATTTTCTTTAGGTCTGATCTTGAACTGGTATATGCTAAAGGGCTGGCTAAACTTTCAAGAAAACTGATCAAAGCCACAGAAGAAACGATTGGGTATAAAATAATGATATTATAGTTCGTTCAGTGTTTATCTCATTTTATAAGTGATATCAATAATGATATATCCCTTCAGTTATGATTAATGACTAAACGTTATATAAAAAGTTGCAAAAATAATAATGTTGCACTTTGTTTGTTCTAATTTCAATGTTATATCAATAATAATTTTGTTCTATTTTTAAATAATATGCAGCTCTAATATACAATTACGATTGGTACTTAAAAGGTATCTAAAAATGTTAACATGTAATAAAAAAGAGAGAGAGAAAAAAGCGGAACATCTGAATTATTTTGGTTTACAGGAAGTTGGTATCAGAATTGCAATTACCAGGTTCTCACAGATTTTGTAATGACAATTTTTTTGGTAATTATTAACCAATTAACGAATTGTTATAGATCCTACGTATTATTTTGCACGCGAGACCGGATTTAGACCCCTTGAGGCCTCCATCTATGCAACACTGCGATGCTTGGGGGTCCCCTTCTTTGGGGCTCGAGACTCCCATGCAATTGCATGGGTGCACCCCTCCGAATCTGGCACTGTTTACACGTCAAAATTTCTGCTTGGGAACTAAACTTGAAGATACACCTATATCTTGGTGTTTGTGGAAACATTCTGCCTAGAAGGATAATGTCTTCTTAATGACCAATAACATATGATTGAAGCAAGTTACCTACACGGATCAGTACTACAAATTAACCCAGTAACGTACGTTGAGAGTAACATTTTGTTTACAATAAAACTCCCGCAGTATAAAACCTGTTTTTCTTTCTATTAAAGCTTTATTTTCTGTTCACCAGAAAACTCCATCATAGGCTAGCTCCTAGAAAGTAATTTATCAGTTCCTGATATCCATGACCATTTAGATGTGCAAGACACGTCACAGTTATGTAAAACGCAGATTACCACAAAGTACCCCACCACAATCCTTCAAATTACACACAATACCATGATCAAAGTCAAATTATTTGCCTCCAGACCCATAATTAGCTATCATTTCAAACCTGGGTGGGGCAGCTCTCACCACTTCACAAAGTTTCTAAGAAATCATCAAAATGTCGGTGCTAATAGACTCAACACCAAGCCAAGTGTAACGAAATATTTTTAATATTAATATTTGGTTTGTATGACCTGGCCCTTCCTTTGGGACATCTATTACGGCTGAGGCCCAGGACTCGCCTTAGGGCCCTGAAAGCTATTGACTTTTGGATTAAATTATATGCATTCTCCCGCTTTTCCTGAGAGTAATTTTCCGAATTTTGATGCATTTTTTATTGGGATATATTGAAAAGTGGAGGGTCGAGCCCCCTGCTTCCTACGCCACTGTACTGAGCTGTATCAGTTATTCAAAGAGCGTGCAGTTATTTCTGACAAGTTCTTTATATATCAAGATGGTTTCTGTAAATAGAGGACATATCGCGAGTTTATAGTTATTAAGGTAAGTGTCAAACTTAACATTTTAGTTAAAAATCAATATAGTACAGACGTGCCCACAAGGTCGCTTTTAGTACGTGAGCGAGTTTGTAACAACTTTTAGTACATTAAGTAGTTTCGTGTTTTAGTAATCGTTTTAAGTTCATTCTGGTCAGAGGTTTCTACGTGCGTGAAAAATTTAAGAAAAATATTTAACCGCTATATATATCAGGGTTAAAAAGATCATTTGATCTATATCAATTAAAGCGTTTAATTTAAAACTTGCCTTTATTCTTTTCTTTCAGAACCGTATCAGCTACCTGGCAAGAAGTGGCAGTGGTAATGGAGAACGAATCCGAATTGCACAAGTACGTGGTTGGCCTATTCCTGGCGCGCGCGCACACACACACACTTGGTGCTCATACCTCATACACACATACGCTTTGCTTGTTTGTTAAATTTCATGACAAGCTACAAGAGGGCAATTTGTTTATTGAATTTCGTAACAAGCTACTAGAGGGCACAGTAGCTTGTCACGAAATTCAACAAACAAATCGCCCTCTAGCAGCTTGTCACAAAATTCAACAAACAAAGCGCCCTAGTAGCTTGTCACAAATTCAACAAACAAAGCGCCCTTTAGTAGCTTGTCACGAAATTCAACAAAGTGCCCTCTAGTAGCTTGTCATGAAATTCAATAAACAAATTGCCCTCTTGTAGCTTGTCACGAAATTCAACAAACAAATCGCCCTCTAGTCGCTTGTCACCAACTTCAACAAACAAATCGCCCTCTAGTCGCTTGTCACGAAATTCAACAAAAGAGGGCGCTTTGTTTGTTGAATTTCATGACAAGCGACTAGAGGGCGATTTGTTTATTGAATTTCGTGACAAGCTACAAGAGGGCGATTTGTTTGTTGAATTTTCTGACAAGCTACTAGAGGGCTATCTGCGCTAGCCGTCCATAATTTTAACTTATAGACTGGAAAGGAAAGTAGGTAGTCAGCAATACCCACTACCAACTCTTGTGTGATCGAATAATGGGGTTTGACTGTCACTCTTTTAGCGCACCCAAAACTATGTAGAATGTTTTGCGGCAACGGAACGCAAGCCACGAATCCCCAGTGTCACATGTCCGAACACTCTCACTACTAGGTTACGCTCAACCCGCATTGGTTAAAATATTGTTTTTTAACATGGTCTTGCAGTTAAATCTGGGAGCTTAACAAATTTTACACTTGAGATATTTATAAAACTCGGAGATATATCAATTATTATTATTAATGGCTTTATTTTTAATTAGTGTTTTCTCTCGTAGTTGTGTTTGTGTTGTTTTAAATATTGTTTATGAGTGTTTGTACAAAAAGTAATTTAAGCATAACTACACATACATTAGGTTGAGGTTGATGGGCTGCATACGAAGGATCAGGGTTTGAGACTTATTGCTACTGGACACGGTTCGCATTTTTAATCGTAATCACATTATAAAGCAATGGTCAATCCCATTTTTCGGTTCAAAGAGTCCGATGAACCCTTCGTGGCTGCCTGCCTTCCCTTTGGTCAAATAGCTCAAAATTAGGGACGGCCATATCCTGTACCTTAAAGGCTTCTGACCTGGCTGTTCGGTCTGCCTGCGTACAAAGTGCCATTCAGGTAGAAACTTCAAATTCAGAGGATTTAAATCCTCGTACTCGGCGTCCTCTTTCAACAATGTGTGAAATATATTTCTTAAAACCTTGTTTGTGTTTAAGTTAAGCACAAAGCTACACAATGGTCTATCTGTGCTCTGCCCACCACGGGTATCGAAACCCGGATTCTAGCGTTGTAAGTCCGCAGACATACCGCTGTGCTACTGGGGGGGGAGGGGGGCTCTTAAAACCTATACCTAATGTACGGAAATCGGCCACTTTAATAAAGTTCTGAGCTGTCTTAAGTTATATGACCTGTTGGATATGTCACTGACCATTCTGTTCGGTATATTATTAGTGCTGATATTTTAACATGATATAGACGCAAGAAAAACCTTTGCAAGCGAAGGCGGAAACAAAGCAAGCAATGTTTGTTCAAACTGATGGTTTTGTGGTGATAATAACTGTTGTATGTACGTGGTTTCTAATTTATCCAGTATTTACGTACGTGTGCACATAGCTGCAACACACACAGAACCACTTTTTTCCTGTTCAACAATATTTACCTGCTCAACGTTCGACCTTGACCTTCCAGAACGAACGAGAACTACCTTTAGAGACGCACGAGTGCGCTTTGTTCACATTTCTACTCCAGCAAACGCGTCAGACAAAAAGATAACGTTCTTTATCCATGAGAAACGTTTGTTTAAAATGTTTATTCGTGATATTACACCTTTATAATGTCATCTGTGAGTAACTGTAGCGAACTAAAATTAAAAAACAACAACTCTGTAATATTTAAGTAAAAAATCCAATACCATGATACCAAATTAAGTACAAAGTTAGCATTTTATTACTGAAGTAAGTGAAAAGCCAACTTTATGGCGCTGACGGAAATCCCAGGTTATTTCAACTGTATTAATAGTGAAGTAAACAATAGTTAAATCTTGGATAATAAGGTTAAAGTCTCCAGCTGTGTGATACTGAGGTAAACAAAAGTTTAGCACACTTTTGCCCCCTCCCCAGTGGCACAGCAGAATGTCTGGGGTCTTACAACGCTAGAAACCGGGTTTCTATACCCGTGGTGGGCAGAGCACAGATAGCCCATTGTGTAGCTTTGTACTTAATTACAAACAAAGCACTCTATTATTGAAATAAGTTAGAATTTATTCTTAAATAAATAAAAGGAGGTTCTTTGATATTTAAGTAAATCAAAGACAAACTTTTCGGTTTTGTTATTGAATTTTGTGCAAAGCTACTCTCGAGGGCTATCTACGTTAGCCGTCCGTAATTCGATTATAGGCTACTATAATCGAATAGTGGAATTTAGCTGTCACTATTATAACGCACCCATGACCCCAAAAAAGCGTGAACTACGAAACCTTGGACACTCAATACAACAGCCTAATCGCTGGGCCGACCCTAGTGCTGATTTTCGTCTTACTTCAATATCACAGTGCTGATTTCCGTTCTACTAAAACACCCTAGTGCTAATTTTCGTCCTACTTTAATATCACAGTGCTAATTTTCGTCCTAATTCAACACCCTAGTGCTGATTTTCGTCTTACTTCAATATCACAGTGCTGATTTCCGTTCTACTAAAACACCCTAGTGCTAATTTTCGTCCTACTTTAATATCACAGTGCTGATTTTCATCCTACACCAACACCCCAGTGCTGATTTTCGTCTTACTTTAATATCACAGTGCTGATTTTCGTCTAACTTCAATATCACAGTGCTAATCTTTGGTTTACATGAATGTTACCAAGATAACCTTTGACTTACTTTCGAATCACAAAGTTAACTTTTTAGTTGACTTCAATGCAACAGAACTAAACTTTAGTTTAATTAAATATCAAGCTGTTGAAGTAGAACCAAAATTAGCACTAGGGTGTTTTAGTAGGACGAAAATCAGCACTGTGATATTGAAGAAAATCAACTCTATTGCATTGTATGATCAAGAGTCATTGATGTTAAACAAAGGTCATTTCTGTGTTATAAAATAAAGTGTTTTATCTTAGCATTGAAATAAGCCACGGACGGCCCTTTAGTAATGAAGGAACCTCATAGATTAGTTTTATGGTTCTAAATTAAATTAAAGTTCACATCTGTGGTGTTTAGACAGTTCCAAAATATAACAATATTTTTGGCTGAAATTACACAATTTTTATGCGATATTGTATAATTTTATTCTTCCGTATTTTGAGTTTGTATGTATAACATTGTTGTGGTTATCACATCGATTTTCAGTTATATGATTTTGGAAAGGGTTACCGTATTTTTCGGAATATAAGACGTACCCTTATTTTTGAAGACAAAGTTTTGGGGAAAACTTTATTATACTAACTCCATTACTATTATTTATTTTTTCTATTATTTAGGGAGTATTATAAATAGTTATGTTTTTAAAAGAAAAAAAACTACTATTGTTATAAATAACACATTAATTCTAATGCAGTGGTTAAGAGAATTTTATTGAATTGTAATTATGTAGGTAATTTAATAAGCTCCATTTTTGTTTTTTAATAAATGTTTCGGTGTCTGATATTTTAACTAGAACTAAGTGTACAATTCAACTACTACATATTTACTGTCCACAGAAGATAGGAGAAACTATGTGGCAGATATAACCTTTTTTTGGGGGGGGTGTTTCAATTCTAAGTAACCACAAGGTGTCACATGGAATGGTTGATTGAGGTAAATGTTATCATGATATAGCTATGTGTCTACCTCTATTTTTGACAAGTTAAAACCTTGACTTAAAAGTTTCATAATTTTTGTACCTACTTCCGTAAATCAACCAGGCAAGATTGTGTCACAAACATTGAATATGTTTTCTAGGGGGACAAATCCACCACTCCTGTTCCAAAATCAATCACTCCAACCAGCTCTGCAGGGAGTACTCCTGGTTCAAGTGGGTTAAAGTCAGTTCCGAAAGGTCCACCAATTGGTAAATATTATGGTAAACTGAAAGCTCAAAACAGAATGAAAAAAATTATAAACAAATACTTAGAAATTTTGGTTATTTTAAAAAAGGAAATAATTAAGCTAGAAGTTTTTGAAATTAACAAAGTAAACCAGAATACTACTGCTCAGCTTGTTTCTGTTATTTACTGCGAATTTGTTGTATATTGTCAGTAATGGCTATTCCAGTTACTTATGGGAACTTATTATCCATTAACTTCAAGGTCCTCCATATCCTTATCCTATACACAGCAACATGGCTGGATCTCATGGGCCAGTTCCAGCTGAACTTGGTTCTAATGCTGCATTCTCTCCGAGCATGTTACACAATAATATTTCACCATCTCTAAGTTCTTATCCTCGCTCTTTGGTGAGTCTGATGTTTTGTATTGAAAGTGCTAAAGTTTGTTTTTATCGTTTTTAAGTAATCTTATCTTGCAAACTTTTTTGATTTATGATAATTGGTTAAAAGTTATCAACTACATATTTCATCAAACATATTTAGAAAATTGGAATATGTTTAGTAAATTTTTTCAATTCCTCCAAAATTTAAGACTTGTAAAGTGCCACTAAGTTTGAAACATTCATCTTAGTTGAATATTAGTCTAAAGATTGTTTGGAGAATTTTGAGCATCTATCTCTAAGGTCTCTTAGGAAAGAAACTGTATGTTGCTGGGTATCTTCTTGTTTTTTTGTAATTGGGATTCAGTATTTTGTTTTGAATTATCATGGATAATAGTCTAGATTGTGTTTTATTAGTGGTAATTCATGCTTCTCATCACCAGGTTGGAAGTTATGATCCACACACTGCATTGAGAAATGCTGCAGGATTTGGTCCTGTCACAGGGGGAAAACCGTAAGTATTATTTATATTTTTTCAGATACATTAAAATCATTACAGTTTTTTCTACAAAACGTTTACATTTAACATTCAACACAAATATATAAAAAAAAAAATGTTTGCATAATTATAAAAGCAGTCATAGTTGTACTTTTCTGTTTTCAACTTATCAGCAGGACCTATTCATTCCATGTCAGTGCAGATGGTCAAGTGCAACCAATCCCATTTCCTCCAGATGCACTCATTGGCCCAGGCATTCCCCGACATGCTCGCACAATCAACACTCTTAGTCATGGAGAAGTTGTGTGTGCTGTAACGATTAGTAATCCCACCAAATATGTCTATACAGGAGGAAAGGTTGGTAGAAATTCATATTATTTGAAAAACAAAACAATAATAGTTAATAAAATAACAAACTACCATATGTTTCCATTAATTTGGGTTAGATTATTTTTATTTTGATTTAAAAACTATCTAAACAACTTGGAAATTTATTTTTATAAATATTTGAAACCTTGCTGTTTTTTAAAAATTGTTTAAGGAAGTTTGTTAATATACTATAGTAACTGCTAACATTAAGATCAAATTAGTTTAAATAGAATAAGTTGAACCAAGATTTCAAATTGATTCTCATGTTTGTTCTTAATTTAGCTTTTGTGACTGATCAGTATACAAATATTATGTTAATTGTAGGGTTGTGTTAAGGTGTGGGATATAAGCCAGCCTGGTAGCAAAAGTCCAGTTTCTCAACTTGATTGCTTGGTGAGTAGTTTTCTATTAATTGTTGTTGTTTTGTCAAACTATATATACCGTATTTTTCGGTGTATAAGACGCACTTTTTTACCCCAAAATTTGTTGTCAAAATCTGCTTGCGTCCTATACACCGAAGGTATGAATAATATATATCTATATATATACAATATACACAAGCCATGTGTAAATATATTTAAATAGGCATGCATAGATTAGTTCAATTGAAGTTAGCTCTTAAAATCAGGTAAGAGTTATAATTCA